TTAACTTTTGGACTTTTCCAGTTATTTCCTAAAACCTTAAATACAATAAAATATTCAATACACGCGTGTTCAGCGTAGCAGTTCACTAAAACTTGTAAGAGCGCCCGAAATGTCAAGAAATCACTTGGGACTATATTGTTAGGGTTTACACATGGGACCATTATCTGCGGGACCATTTTGTCCGGGACCATTTTGCCCGGGACAATTTTGTCTCGCACTCCTGGGACACACAAAAGACGGTCTGAGTATGAGCGGAGTTCTTCGTTCCCCTCATCTAGAGCCGCTTGGGTTGGAGTAGAGGGGAAACGGAACTCCCCTCTACGTTTCTTATGCGTGTGTTTTGACCCTGATTCGTTACTATGGACGAATCACGCTATGGACGATTTTTCTGGAGAACGAAATAAACAATACATGACTGTATAGTATACAGGGTCAACAACGCCTGGTTCAACAACTTTAAATAAAAAATTAAAAAAAATATCCCTTTCAAAATGACGTTACTGACTCCGGCAAATATTAAGTTACAAGTGTAATGTAACAATTAAATTATTGATCTAAATTCACAAATTAACTTGAGACATATTTGCCCTAGCTGGCATATTCCAGAAAAAAAAAGAGATTGGTGTATGGCAATCGCCTTCATTCCGTCTGATTGCTCATCCGATTGGATCGCCGCATAGAAAGAGGACTGCGGCTAACAAAACAATGTGGAGTTTACAAAAAACAATACATTGCAGTGGAGAAATCACCGGGATACATTCATGACAGTGAAACCGGTTTAGCTCCCTTAAATTGTTCGAAAAGTTATTGTGAAGAAAACGCCTGACTACAACAACATCACCATTTCTGAGCCTATGACTCATGCGCGCAAACCGCCACAGCTTAAGTGCACTGAGGCTTTATGTCATGTTATATTCCTCTGACTACAGACCATTCTCAAGACGAAAACCCTCGCATTGAACTCACAGCCTCGACGGAAACTGTTTCGTGCAGTATCCCCCAATATTTTGAGAAATTTGATAGAGAGATATATTGCAAAATACTCACCACAGACGTTTGCAAGTAACGCTTCCGGGCACCACCATCTTGCTGTTGGCGTCTGTAGAGAGTTAGATAGTCAAACCTTGCCAAAGTTACTACATCAGCTCAGTTGTGAAACTCTCATGGAGAGGTTCTTCCCCTCAAGCTATCTGAAAAGCCAGCTATAGGTTGCGTTTCAAAACTGAGTATTCCATAGAGTATGTTGATGCGTCGTCTCTACTCTGTGCTTTAAAAGCAGTGAACTCCTTAGAGTTCGCTATAGTTGCCCCGTAGCAGCCGTCCCCGAAACGATGGCGCGTCGAACGACAGGAGGCGGGCCTTGGAGGAGACGGGAGTGGGAACGGACGCTGCTCGTGGGAGCAGCGTTCGTCGACAGCTCCCTAACTGAGTCGACCTATACTTCGTTTCACCTAACTTCTGGATGCAGCCGAGGCTACAAGCTGATGGGAACAATCGAACAGTATCAAAAGCGCAAGTCACTGGGTTTCCCGTATTCATGATTGGTTGAGCGATGACACCAGCTCGTAGCGTCGACGGCGTTCCGACTTCAAGCGAAACGAAGCAGAGAACGGCGCGCCTTGGTAAAGCGTGCTCACGATTGCCAGACAAAGCATTTTCCATACACGGTGGCTAGACTAGCTCTAAACGCGTGGCTGCTTGCTAAATATCTTCCACTGGGAACGTGAACTCCCGTAATCAAAGTGTTCTCTCGTCAACGCCGAACAATCGAGCCCAGTGTATTTTCGGCTCCCGAAGTGACTACACGTCACCGCGCCACTTCAAGCCTTGGAGATTCGATGCCCGCAACAACTCCGGTGACCAGCCCCAACCGGCGCGCTGGTGGTGTTTTATTTATGGCGAAATGAGGGATTCAAATGCACGGTTTTTTTCAGAGCAGCGGTAACCTTCGTGATCTTTTTTAGAGGAAGGGAACAGTGAGCTTCAAGAGCGGCCAAAGAGCAAACACCTTATATAGTAGAATAAGGAGATAATAAAGTGATATAATTGTAAATTAATACATCGCAGGACACACGTTTAGTGACAGAACAAAGCAAAATCAGTCTGTAGCTAAATAACTACACATTCGGTGAATATGGGGTCGGTGAAGTTAGCACCTTCCCCAACAACGTGCAAGCCAGTCTTTACGAAACTACATGCCAGAAGCCGAATAGACATTGCGTGACCTATGTGGCTACGACAAAACCTTGGCTATGAGGCTGGCGCTTTTTTTAAAGTTATGAAAACATAAAACTGGTGATCATGAGGATCGCGGCTCGGAAGCATATGTAAGGTAATAAATGCCATGACCTAAAGGTCGTAAACAAGAAGTCAAAATTGTTTCCCCTGCATTCTTGCCCCAGAATCAGATCCACTTGTGCATCTGACTAAAAACTAAAGTTGCGTGAGATGTGTATTATGAACCTGGCACGACCAGCGGTTGTTTCGCATAAACTTCGCCTTTTTGCAGAAACTAAACAAATAAATGCACGCAACATATAAGGCAGGCTGGAGCGCGCCACGTGGTGTCGCGGTTTCCTTGAGGCTTGACATGTCTCTGGTTAAAGGATCTATAGAATACCGCAGGGAAGGCCACTTGTCCTGGAGAGCTTTATTGCGGAAAAATAATAAGAAAAGATTTATGGATGGGGTCAGTCGGTGCCGTGAGCTGCCGCTGGCAAAGGGTAAGTGTTAATCTAGGGCAAGAGTTGTTCTATCAAGCGAGTTTCTTTTCTTTTTTGCTCCTGTGTTCCACGACCCTAGAAAGGACGTGCTGCGTCGTGCTTGACGCTTGTGCAAATTCCTTGCTTCGGTTCCGATGGCGAGGACCTCCCGTGTCCTACACAAGGAGGGGTCCAGGAGGAACTCGGAGCGCGGGGGGGGGGGGGGGGGGGGGGGGGCGAGGGGTGTGTGCGGGGGAAGCCCGAAGTAGGGAGGAAGGAGCGGCGGTGGGAGCGTGGCCGGGGGCGGCTCAGCAGGGCGCGCTTGCCTTGCAGGTGGGACGAGCGCGTAGCGCCCCGCACTAGAGCCTCCAAGAGCGATCCCCGCGTGGATCAGGCCTTCGTCCCGCCCGTGCCGTGGCGGCGGCTCCCAGCGCAAGACGGCCAAGGTATCGTATCGGGGGAGGCGGCTGACGCTCTGCTCGCTTGGGTGGCTCTCTCTTCTCTGTCCTCTGTCGCCGAACCACCAGCAGCAGTCCCCCGCTAACCGCTCCCACGCCGGTCCACTGACACGCTCTTTCTCTCTTTTTCGGGCTTCCCCCCGCCACGTGACCCTCGGCCCCGAGTCGTTGGCCCAGGGCCCCCGACGCCCAGCCGTGTTCGCTGCTGGTTGGTTCGGCCCCGTCTTTTGTCTGCTCTCTTTCTCTCTCTCGCTACCTATCTGTCCACTGCTCTCACCTTTCTCTTCTGGCACCGCAGTCACCGCTTGAAGCCGACGCTTTGTTGCGCATGATGGACCTCTAGCCATAGGCGAGGCACTTGCCGTGGGGGCTTCCTGGGCACGAGGCTACACGCGTCTCTCCAGGTGTCTCGCTTCGAACGGGAGGGCAGCTCGTTGGCTTCCGGCGAACCGCCTTCCCTCTGACAGAGTCTTCTTCCTGAGAAAGGAAAAGCGCTGAAGCAGTCTTCAGAGGCTTCCGGGTTTAAGGGATCGGGAACGACTAATCCCTCTAATACCTCTTGGGCGGTTTTGCATTGATCTGTCGCTGGAAGCCAGGAAAAACGACGCTCACCCAAGGCCTTAATCGTTGGCTTATCCTCACGGGAAAGCTCTTTATACATGAGCTTAGGAGTATCGGTGGCGTTCTGAACTTTTATGCAAGCGCAACGTTAACGGTTTTTAAGCCCAGACGTTGTTTTAACTAATCGTTTTCACGATCCGATTATGCTCTATGGGCGCACTTCATGCACGCTTCGAAGTGGCACGAGCTTCCTCACGAAAGTGATTCGCGGAGAACACGATCTTCAAAACTTTTTTAATGACAGCACCCTGAAGCCCCCAGTGAACATCGGAGATGCCTGCTACATGAAAAACGTTGTTTTTGTTTTTTTGTTTTACATTTAGAAGTATGCCGCATGGAGTTCCTCTAACACAAGCCAGTCCCGAATGGTGTTTGCAAAACCCTTGAATCTTAACCTGAATCCATGGTACCCAAATACAATAACTTTTTGTGAATGTGCGGATGGAGCCACAATTAAGCTGAAGTAGGCGCAAATGCCGTGTCTCTAATACTTCTTTTATAACAAACTTGTGTCTCAATTATGGGGTACAAGTAACGTACAAGTGAGCAACGTACACGCGAAGGTCGTGGACAGGGGCCTGCCATTTAATAAACGCTGAATTGATATTTGATGAAGGTCGAAAACTGTAATTTTGGTTGGCTGATAAAACTCGCCAGCTGTTGTATTTGGTGTCACTCAAATAGGGCTACTGGTGTCACTCAAATAGGGCGCACCTTTTTGCGCCTGCAGAGATTAATTAAACAAAATAACTGGAGAGAAATTAAGAACAGCCGACACTAAATTGATTTTGAATAAATAGTGTTAGTCACGTGAATACGCTTACTCATCTACGAAAACACGAAAGCACTCCAATCATTTTAAATTTCGTGTTTCAGTTGAACGTCCGAGCTCTTGTCGCCTTTCGGTCAGTTAGTCCTTGCATACTCTCTTGACGTAACTGTACGCTGTACAGAACGCGTCCTGTGCATTGTCGGAACGAACCGTAAAACTGATATTCTAAAGTTCAACGGTCTTCAAGGGTCCTGGCATTCTGTGCCCCTAGCCGAGGCAGCGCATAATCTTATATAGACCATTCCAGTCATTGCCTCCTGCGCACCGCCATTTTCGGTTACTGAGATGAGGAACGTTTTCTGAGCATGCGCAGTAGCTGAGAGACACGAGACACCACGCGCGCGCTCCCAGCCCAGTGGTTCAGTGCTTTTTTGGCAGAATGATGAGGGCCGGAGAAGTGTGTAAGGGAGGTTTTTTCCGGACCCCCAGGAGGTGAAGGAGTTCCTGGACCAGGAGGACTCCCTGGGCGCCGTCGACTTCCGGGCCAACATCGAGCTGAAGACGATCAACCGCTGGGACGTGGGCAGCGTGGAGAGCTCGGACACGTACGCGTCGTGCAACACGCAGCCGTTCACCTCACAGGCGGACCTGAGCGACGGCTCTGGCCTGTACGTGAACCCGCTTCCGGGCGAGCTGAGCGGGTCGTCCGCGGCGCGGCGGCCCCGCTTCCTGCAGGGCATCCGCACCAAGGCCCGCTTCGACCCCATTGACGCCACGCGGGCCCTCAAGCCGGACCCCATCCAGCTGCCCAGGCCGCCCGAGCCCGCCCCGCCGCCTCCCGCCAAGGCGTCGCCCTTCGCCAAAGGTGGGCTCATCAGAATGGGGCGTTTCAACTCCGACCGCAGATTACGCTGCAATTCGATGAAGACCATCGAGCAGGACAGGAAATGCATCGTCACGGCGCTCGTGGTCTTTGTGGGTTTGGCTATAGATGCTTCAAACAAGATTACAACCGCCATTGCTCCCCTTCTCTCGTTTTATATACCTAAATGCCACGGAAACGGGTGTTTACGATCCTCAAAAAGGGCCATTGCTGGAGAGAATGAAAAAAATAGAATCTAATATGGCAATGAACTGTCCTGCTATGGTAATCATGAAGTGAACAAAAACTGAAGGTCGGTTATGGCGGCGCCCATGCGCAAAAAGCTAAAGATGGCGGCGCATCCACTGTGCGTCATTGGCTTAGTCGGCGAAAGCAAACGCACGAAGGCTAGGAGCGCCGTGACGACGTGCCCATGCTTGATTGCCTCCATCGAACTGCCACGTCAAACGGAGTACAGTGATCTCGCCAATTTAATCCTAGGCCAGCGTCGCCGCGGCGGTGCGCCGGCGATGAACCCTCGAAAGTGGGCGCGTGTGCGTTGCGTAGCTTCCGTTGACGTCGGCTGCTCGTCTTTTGAATCGCTTCGGAGCACCCGACCCCTCTTCCTTCCTTGACGAGCTCGTGGCGAAAGGAAAAGGAATGCGCTACCCTGGCTCCGCCGTATCATATAGTTACTGTAGGTGAGAGGGAAGTTCGACACCTCCTCATGGACACGCACTACCGCGGTGTTGGATCCTACACGTCACCTAGCGGAAGCCAGCGGCGTGCACAGATTGGACACGATTGCGGCGTCAGCGTTCGGGTAAAAGTCGTCTCCTCAGTGATTGGACGCGAGTCCCGGTCGAACGTTAACGCAGCACTCGCTACCAATCATAGCCAGGCGTCGGCTTCCGTTAGGTGACGTAGGGAAGATCCACCACTCCGGTATTAGGCAGCTGCATCGTTTTCCTCCGGAATAAGCATCACAGAAGAAAGAGTCGCGTGTTTCTTCTCGCTGAATGGGTGACAGATGGTTTTGCGTTAAACATCGCGCACAAACGTTATACAGCGTGTACTCGCTTACCCCCAAAACAACAACAACAAACAACAACGAACAATAACAAGCACTCTAATGACAAACAAACAACAACGAACAATAACGAAAAAAAAACATACAACAACATTTACAGTGTTTTTCTTTTCTTTTTTGCCTCAGTAATAAATTACGTATTGCCGAACGATAAGTCTCCACCCAAATGTAGCACTAGCGGTTGGAGCCAGATGCCTAGGTTTCAGCACTAATCATTATCTTACTCAAAAGTGGTAAGGGATTTTCTCAAAAATTTAATGAGAAAATGGAACCCACTTTTACCTGTTTTCAGTAACTGGTTGTGGTCCACCATTCATTCATTGAAAATTTCAGAAAATTGTGTTAGGGCTGAAACTTTGACATCTATTTCGAACTGTTAGCTCTGCATTTGGGCGGAAATTAAATGACCGCTCCACAACGCGTAATTTATTTTCGCGGTAAAAAAATCTAAATGTTTATGTTTGATTATGCACTCTTTCAAAAAAACAAAAGGTATAAGTAATGAACATGAAAAGAGAAGGGATACATGTCTTCAAGAAGTGTTTGATTGCAATCATCTCTTTTCAATAGAACAATGTTGTAAGGAAGTCTTTCTTTGGGAGTTGTGCCACTTTAAAATTCTCCCTAAAATCTATTGGAAGTCGGCAGCTGATACAGCCTTTGAATCTTAACACTAGGCTGGAGAACGCAATAGTTAGGCAGGTGTAAAAAGAGCCACAAAATGTAAAAAATAAATTAGAAAATATACAAAGTGAATATTCAACGGGCTAACCTGTGGTGATTTATCGAATGTAATTGCTTGCCACCCGATGCTATGAGCGCCGCCTGTCTTTCGAACTTCTTTCTTAACTGTGAAGCAGAAGGGTCAGTGGAAGATTTCTTTGGGTCTTATCACGAAAAAAGACAAACTCTACTAAACAAACTACATCAAACAGGTGCGTGGCCTTTCGATATCCCCAAGGTGCTCTGCGCTTGGATTACGATATGCAAAAGGAGTCCGCTTTGATCGCGTTCTCTGTTAATACGAGCCTATCTCACTCTCTCGAGTGTTTGCATGTGCGTTAAAATTGCTTTTATCATCATCGCTCTATAAAGTTTTATTATAACGATAATGTTATTGCCCTCTTTCGTGGCTAATATTTTAACAACCTTTCCTCAACCTCAGCACAGAGGGAGAACCTAGGACCAACCTCCAGGTTAACCTCCCATATTTCATTCGTCAATATCAGTCACCCAAAACAATTGTCTTAGTGCGTCTGTGATAAACGTTTGTAGGCCCAATTTTCCGGTGGAAAGAGGTCAACAGAATCGATAAGTAAGACGAACAGGCTTCGTTTTCAATGACACACACTCCATTTTCGACGGATGATAAAAGGAGAAGAATTGCGAGAAGGGAAAATCTGCAGGCGAGCTGGTAAGGTAACATCTCATTCCAAACCCTGAGACCCGAATAAAGAAAATAACGGACAAGACGACACAAAATCTCAAAGGAGAAGGAGAAATAAAGGAGTCCCGCAACTGGAAGTCACCCCCCTCTTGACCCGCAAATTGGCGCAGCGACTGAACGCAGCAAAACATTACCCAAATAAAGAGGTCGTGTTGAACCTTCACCCTAAGGAGGCATGATAGGACATGAGTGTTGCGTCACCATTCGGCTCAGGCTCATGTTTAATGAGTGAGGACACGAGTGAGTGAGACACTTACATACCCAAATCACTCCGACATCTCCTTAGTTGCTTGGCCTATACATAACCGATATGCGTACATCATAATTTAAAGGAGTAATAATAAGTACAGACATAAGCTATCATCACGGTATCTATCTGTGTCTTTAAAAAAACACATTGCATAAAAAAAACGTTCAACCAGTGTCTCTTTCAAGACATTAGAGCTAATGACCTGGAAACCTTTAGACAGAAAATCTACAATTTTGATTGAGTAAAATGACGCAGATCGTGCTTATAATATTTTCTTATCTAAAGTGACGCTTGGGTTTTGATGTTTCTTTCGTCTCGTAACTTCCTCACACAGCACCGAAGACAGCGGGCACGATCTTTGCGTTCACTAAACGCGTCGAAAGGCCTCCACGTGCGATGCACAGGAAAACAGGGTGCGGCGGGTGCCGGAACTGCATAACTTCGAGCTTTAACACGGCGTGGCGCCACCTTCGTGTAGGGCTTGGTATGGTTTGGTGCGCATTCATGTAAACGTTGCCTCGTCGGCTTCGTTCGAAGAACGAGTGGAGTCGATGCGCTGAAGTCGCTTTCATGTAAGCGAGGCTAACGTCTTCAAAGCGGGGGTGCAACGATTTTCGATCTTCGGCCAAATAATTGTGAGTGTTGGTGTCGGTCATTTCTTAATCCAAGAAGAGAAAACAATTTCTGCTTCCCTGAGCTAGTTTTTATTAAAAAAAAAATGTCAAAGAACGAAGTTTTCGGTGCCTCTCAACTCGTGCCTCGTCGACAGGGCACTTGCGAGCCACGTGCTTAGTGACATCTCTGTGGGATCATGTAACTTTCGGATGGGCTCTTTGACCTTTGTTTTTTTTCCGTCTTCCAGCGTTCCTGCTGTGATTCTAAACACCGTGTCAACCGTGTTCTCGGCCAACACGGCGTCATCATATGTTGGTCTCTGACGGGGTTTTCGCGCGGTAGACGATGATAGAGGATAATTTGGGTTGCGAACAGGGGACTCAGGTTCGGACACAACGAAACACCGGATCCGGTAGACATCGCCCGTGATCGCGGCGACCGTACGTTGAGAAACACGAGAACACAAAAGTTCAGACTCTTATCTGCTCCTCGAACAAACCAAACTGCTAGATATTACTCGAGACGTTGCCGAAACTCTTTAACCTCTGTACTATCGGGAAAAAATGGAAATGCGAACAGAGAAGCGCGTGGCTCGCGCTACAGGCTGCGCCGCCTGGAAGTGAGCCTAGGGGCGAGGGTGCGTGGCCTACTCCGATGTGTTTAAGCCCTTCGCTCGGCGCTCCCCAAGCTTCGGCATTGCGCCTCTCAGTGCGCTGAAAGCTATCACGGCTATCTTTGCTCGTTCAGCGCGTGCGGCGCGAGGAAGCTCGCCGCTAGTAGCAGCTGAAGTGCGCCCTGGCTGCTATGCCGAAGCTTGGGGAGCGCCGTGCAAATATTTACACAAGGTGTGCTCTTGGCACAGAACGGAACATCGGCAGACCGTTGAGTAGACCAAGCAGTTCGATCATCGCTCGCGCGTTGGCTCACGACTCACGAGACTCTTCTTTTTCGTCGTCGTTAGTGCGCTCCCATACACGCGGAAACAAGATGCTGTCTGGAACGGAGCACAAACAAACCCGGGAACGACGGGGAGGGTGGCTGCGCAGAGAAGATGGTTTCGTCGACTTCCGGTAGATGACGCCACGACAATTGAATAAATTTTATGGATAATAGTAGACTTTCCTCGCATATCGATATGCTCAAGCCGACACGATTAAAAAAAAATAATAACTTAAATTGAGCACAAAGTTGCCCAAATCGCGAACTTATAATGACATCCCCCAGAGCACGTCACACAGCAGTTTCTGTAGCTTCTGTAGCCGCCACAAGCGGCTGCAGATAGTCAAATTATTGTGCGTTTTTTTATTTTTTGGCGATTAAGCAGCGGAATCGTTGTTTCGGGAAAATGATGCATGTTTTCGTTTACTTTTGGAACGATAAAAAACTACAAAAAAATACAAACGATAGCTTCTGTCACGCTTAGAACCGTTGCACTGCCCCTTTAAAGCGCTTAATTGTATATTTTTTTCGGTAGGAGGGACCTCGTCAAGCTGATTGTTCAGCTTATTGTCCCCAACGTCCCCTATCGCTTTAATTGAAATAAAGGTATTGTTGGTCTGAGAACGCACGCGCATCACACGATGCGTTGTTACCGCCGGCGCACCGAGACACCGGGTTAGCCGAGATATCCGAGGGAATGTCTCTAGTAGCGCTCAAGATTCACGACGATAGATGGAGCCAGCCTCCCTCCTAATTAAAAAAAGGGAAACCCCGAGGCTGCGGAGCATCCATCCGTTTTACCTACGCAAACCTGTCCTCGCCGAAGCGATTCGCACGGAGTGACATGCATTATTTGGTTTAATTGCACATTTTAAGTTCATTCAATCATTCATTTTCATTCATTTATTGATAGTGTCAGACCCTGCACATGGCTGTTACAGGGGTGGAGAAAAATAATGAAAGCCATTTACAAATCCCCTGTAATGCCGAATTGAAGCGCAGCTCCTGAAGAGGAGTAGGGAAGCCTACTGAGGGGGTCACGTGACCTCGGGGGGGGGGGTCACATGACCTCGTGGGGGTCACGTGACTTGGGGAGTCACGTGCCTTTGGGTGTGACCTGACCTTGAGGGTCACGTGACCTTGTGGTAACCTCGGGGGTCACGTGGCCTTGGGACGACCTTGGGGGTCACGTGACCTTGGGATGACCTTGGTTACGCCGACGCCGACGGCGACGGCGACGCTGCTCAAGCCGGGAACGGGCCCCAAGAGCTGCGCTCTAGAAAGACAACAAACAAACATGTACGCTTACATGCATGCATAACAAAGGTTACAAGTATATTGAGATGCTTCGTAATTTTGGCAGTTTACGAAACGGATATCACTTCGTAGTTTTGAAACATTTCTTTACACAAGCTTTAGGGGTTTGAATTTGTAGCAGATACAATATCAGTGATACGCTCCAGAAAATCATTTAGCGACATACGATGACACAGCGGAATCAAAAAAACAAAAACAAAAAAACAATCGTTTTAGAGCGCAGCTCTAGGCGCCCGTTTCCGGCTTGAGCGGCGTCGCCGTTGGCATAACCAAGGTCACCCCAAGGTCACGTGACCCCCCAAGGTCATGTGATACCTTCCAAGGTCACCCCAAGGTGACGTAACCCCGAGGTTACGTGACTCCCGAGGTCACGTGACCCCGCGAGGTCACGTGACCCCCCGAAGTCACGTGACTCCTCTGAGGTCACGTGACTCCCCTGAGGTCACGTGACCTCCAAGGTCACGCCCCCCGATGACGTCATCGTCACTGATAACGTCACCAAAATCTGCATCGTCATCTTCATCATCACCGATAACGTCATCAGTGACGTCACTGATGACGTCACCGGCATCCGCATTGTCATCATCACTGATGACGTCATTAGTGACGTCACTGATGACGTCACCGACATCCTCCTCGTCATCGTCATCATCAGTGATGACGTTATCAGCGACGTCACTGATGTCGTCACCGGCATCCGTATCGTCAACGTAATCATCACAGATGACGTCACCAAACATCCGCATCGTCATCAGCGACGTCACTGATAACATCATCGGCATTGTCATCGTCACGGGACCCCAGGTCACGTGACCCCCAATTTCACGTGACACCCCAAGGCGACGTGACTCCCCCCCTCCGGTCAATTGACCCCCCCAATACCCTTCCCTCCTCCTCCTCAAGAGCTGCGCTCTAATTCGGCGTTACAGGGAGTTGTAAACGGCTTTCACTTTTCGAGCGCAGCTCTTAGGGGCCCGTTCCCATATTGAGCGGCGTGGCCGTCGCCGTCGGCATCGGCGTAACCAAGGTCACTTCAAGGTCACGCGACCCCCAAGGTCATCCCAAGGTCACGTGACCCCCAAGATTACCGCAAGGTCACGTGATCCCCTAGGTCACGTGACCCCGAGGTCACGTGACCCCTCCCCTAGGGTCACGTGGCCCACAAGGTCACGTGGCACTCAAAATCACGTGACCCCCGATGTCACGTGACCCCCGAGGTCACGTGACCACCCGGAGGTCACGTTACCACTCCGAGGTCACGTGACCCCCCCCCCCCCCCCCCGAAGTCACGTGACCCCCCACCCGAGGTCACGTGATCCCCCGAGGTCACGTGACCCCCCCCGCCGAGGTCACGTGACCTCCCCGATGACGTCATCGTCACTGATGACGTCACCGGCATCCGCATCGTCATCATCACTGATGACGTCATCAGTGACGTCACTGATGACCTCAACGGCGTCCACATCGTCGTCATCTTCGCTGATGACGTCATCAGTGACGTCACTGATGACATCACCGGCATCCGCATTGTCATCGTCATCAACACGGATGACGTCATATGTGACGTCACTGATGACGTCACCGACATCCGCATCGTTATCGTCATCTTCGCTGATGACGTCATCGGAGTCCGCATCGTCATCATCACTGATGATGTCATTAGTGACGTCACTGATGACATCATTTGCATCGTCCAGGTCACTTCACCCCCGCCCCCGAGTAGCCTTCCCTCCTCCTCCTCAAGAGGTGCGCTCTAATTCGGTGTTATAGGGAGTTGTAAACGGCTTTCACTTTTTAGAGCGCAGCTCTTAGGCACCCGTTCCCGGCTTGAGCGGCGTCGGCGTAACCGCAACCCTCGTAACCCTCGTGAGGGTTACGAGGGTTAAGAGGGTTAATCTCATGAGGGTTACCCTGACGAGGATCACGAGGGCCACGATGGTTACTTACCCTCGTAACCCTCACGGGGGTTACGAGGGTTAGTTACCCTCAAAAGGGTTACCTTCACGGGGGTTACCCTCACGAGGGTTACTTACCCTCGTAACCCTCACGAGGGTTACGAGGGTTAGTTACCCTCAAAAAGGTTACCTTCACGAGGGTTACCCTCACGAGGGTCACGAGAGTTGCCCTCACAAGGGTTACAAGGGTTACCCTCACGAGGGTCACGATGGTTACCCAGGTCACGTGACCCCCGTTGACGTCATCGCCACTGATGACGTCATCAGTGACGTCACCGGCATCCGCATCGTCATCATCATCATCACTGATGGCGTCATCAGTGACATCACTGATGACGTCATCGGCATCGTCACGTGGCCCCAGGTCACGTGACCCCCACCCCCCGACGTCACGTGACGCCCCAAGGTCACGTGACTCCCACAAGGTCACGTGACCCCCCCCCCCCCGAGGTCACTTGACCCACCCCCCAGTACCCTTCCCTCCTCCTCCTCAAGAGCTGCGCTCTAATTCGGCGTTACAGGGAGTTGTAAACGGCTTTCACTTTTTTTTTAACAGACGGATTAGGAATGTACATGCTATGACGATGTCTTGAGGATTCGGTGGAGCAGATTTCAAAGTGCTCACATTTCTTTATCTTTACGCAATTATAAGTAATCTGAAAAAGAAATTTTAACCTCTCATATTTCGTTCTTGATTCGAATGTTTGAAGATTGGCAAGTTCACACAGTTTTGTAGGGGAATGAACGTGGCTGGATGAGAGTCACCTGGAAACCTGGATGAGAGTCACCGAATTTTCTCTAGCTCATTGCAATTTATAACGGTATATGGGTCCCATACAATTTTAGAATAGTCGATGAAAGGTCTTACCAGTGTCATATAAGCCAGACTTTTTATTTCAGGAGTTGCAATAGCGATGTTTCGTCGAAGGCACCACAGTGCTTTAGTAGCTTTGATGCATACGCTATAAATGTGAGTGTTACATTTTAGATCAGGAGTAAATATTAAGCCTACGTATTTATGTTCTTATACTCTCTCAAGCTAAGCGGGATTGCGCGTGTGGATACTCCTTATTTTATAGATTCTAAGAAGTTCGGACCACAGAAAGGATGAACCCCAAAGCATTCTTAGTAATAGTCGTGGTAGCAAATATTACGTATTCTGACTTGGGAGAGCCACAGCGCTGCAGAAAGGCAAGTCGCCCATATCATGCAGGCTTGCGGCGCCGCGTTTAATTATGATGAGATGTAGATGACAAAAAGCAGGCGCGCTTTCACACTAAAAAAAGAAGAAAAAAGGTATACTCTTACACCTTTTGCTTTATATAATACACCCCAAAGCTTCAGTTGGACGTACAGCACACTGACGTTGAACCGACGCTCGCATTATTGGTCCAAAAAGAGTCCTATAATTACGTTTTCTTCGTGTCTTTTTTTTTCTCTGCCTGCGCAGTGTTCACGCTGTTCGCGGCCAGTCCCAAGAACGGCCGCAGTAGCAGCGGCGGCGGCGGCGGGGGCGGCGGAGAGCCTGCGCGGTCCAGCCCGGAGCCGCGCAAGAAGTCCATACTGAAGAAGAGCGGCGACAGCTGGGGCGGCGAGCGGCAGACGGCCAGCACGGGCACGGCCACGACGCCCAGCCTGGGCACCCTGTGCGTGCAGACGGTGGACGTGATGTGCTCCCCCGTCCAGTGCGGCCCCGGAGGAGCCGCGGAGCGCACGCCGCTGCTCATGGCCGCCGAGGAGGACGCCGGGGACAGCCCGTCCGAGGAGACCAGGGCTCTGCTGACGCTGAGACACGCCACCGCTTCCTAGCAGCGCACGCCTTTCCAGACCCCGGCCCGGGAGGACGCTTCGGCGCCGGCCCCGGGCTCGGGGCCCCCGCCGTAGAAGACACGTCCTGTGTTTGTGCCCCCCCAATCTTTCCTCGGTGCTAGGTTTCTCCCGTTCGGTTTCTGCCCCGCCGTGTGTGACCGACGAAACCCTGGGACCCGTTGCTCAATCCCCCTTACGCAGCACGCGCTCTTCTTCACACGGCTGAAGTCGGCTTGACGCGAGCCCCTCGGCCCCCACGTTGGGGCCGCCTCGGCGCCTCCCTCTCCGAGCCCCCTCCAGCCCCTGGAGCCGGCTGCCGCCCCGACCTCGGCGCTGTGCTGGTGCTGCAAGTCTTCGAGGCATTCCAGGCCTCGAGAGTTTAGAGAGCTTCATTCCTTAACCGTGTCAATCGAGCGAGAGGAAGAAGGCAGAGTGCTCGCTGGAGAACCGCCGATTGGCAACCGACTTAAAAGTTGAACGCAACGTACACGCAACCAGAAATATCCTCACTGACGGCACGTACATTTCCCAGTCTAGCTTCAGACTCGATATGGGAGGGACGAGGGAAACATACGGTTATCCATTTTTCACTGACGAGCCCTTTCATTCCTTTGGACCAAATCTTAATCTTTGGTCTACAGGTGAGTGACCTTAGTGTAACCTTAGTCAGGTAAGGCTATTGAGGACAGGTTAGTGAGCCAAGCCGCACAGATTTGGCCAATCATTGGCCACTGCGTGTCAATGGTCATTTGGCCAGTGGCCAGACAATGGCCAGCCGTTGGCCGATGAATTGCCTTTCTCTGGCCATTGGTGAATTGCCACTGGCTATCAGCCATTGGCCCAGCATTGGCCGATGAATGGGCACTTTTTGGCCATGGGCCAAAAGACCATCCCCAGCCAATGGCCATTGCTTGGCCAAAATCCGTGCCGCGGTCGGTCTGCCTGTACCCGTTAGTTAGCCCGTGTCCTCGCACCGCCCTTGGTACCGCCGCAGTGGACTCCCCAGCTCGTCTTAGTGCCCCAAAAGAGGCGCCGAGGGATGGCGCCACTTGCTCCAGGGGCTCGGAGGGGCTGCATGGACGAGCGGCGTCGCTGGTATACAGCGAGCGTCGGCGCCGGCAGGGTGCAGCAGGCTGGCCAGCGCAGCCGCGCAGAAGCTCAGCCGCCCCGGGAATCCCTGGACGGGCGTGGGCCCGTAGCGCAATAACGGTTCCCCCCTCGTACTTCTTAGAGTTCCGGCGGGCAGAGTTTGCGTCCCCCCGGTAGGCTTGGCCGCCTTTCCGACAGCCCCCTTGTTTCCCCTCGTTTGGGGGACCGCTTCCCGGGAGGGCGGGCCCCCGCGTCCTGTTTCGGTTTGTCCCTTTGTTCGTTTGGCGCGAGTGTCTCATTTTCCCATCGGTCTTTTGTTTTCGTTTTTATGCTCAGAGGGTTGCTACTTCACTGTTCCACCGACGCGGCATGACCGAGTATCTGGTGTACATACTGTTCATAAGAATCGGGGGCGGTAGTGCTTGGACTGACCGGTGCAATTTCCTTTTTTATAAATATATAAATATATATTACATAATATATATCATTTCGTCTATCGTTGCGATAATAAAAATAAAACAAATTTCGTCCGTTATACGGCTGCTCGCACCTACGTGGTTCTCAATTGTGCACCGGCGGACGAGTTGGACGGGAAGCGAGGAGAACCCCTGAGAGGAGGACTTCTCCTCTACTATTGGTGTCTGCCGTACGGGTGGTGTCTTTGGTGTCGCTGCTTTCGTACTGCTTCGCTATTTCAGAAAGTGTCAGACATGATGTGCACACTTGGCGGAAATTTTTTGTGGAATTCAAGAATGAAAAGTGCGCCTGGCAGTCTTTTATCGGCGCTCACGATGTGTTCGGGTTGACTGAAAAACGAGCGTGGGCCCGCGGGCCCACGCTCGTTTTTCGAGCGTTGGTGCTTTCTGAGCATCGTGGGTTTCCGAACTCCAGAAACAGTCGCCTAGGAATATGTGAAACACAAAGGGAAGCACTCGACGTATCTTTAATCTTTATTTATATTACTATCTAAATTGCATAAGTCCTTATGTTTAACGTTCTTTTTTTTCGGATTCAAAAGTAGTTTTAAAAACAATGTAGAGGTGATAAGAGGTTTCCGTTCAATACTTTAATGATGTTACTTATTTCTTCACTTAAACTGGGGTCCCTAAACTCGTCAAACACAAAGTTGTAACAGAAACTTCGCGGAGCGTGCCAATTGGACGTCGGCGAAAACAAACGCAAAATCATCGTCGTCATAGGCCAATCGGTGCGCTCCGTGAACTTAGGTCACAACTTAGTGCTTGACGAGTTTATAGGCCTAGGTCACCTTCGAGTCAAAAAGACTTTCCCAAAGAGAAACAAAGAGATGAGCCGAAATCGTTGCCGTCGCTACGCCAATTCTCGTCGAAACGCGTCAGCATTTAGCGCGGTCGTTCCGACTCAACGAAGGATGGCAATTCCAACCTCGCAATGGTGCTGCTGCCTTTGGAGAGCCCGTCTGTTCTCCCGGGCGTTGGCGGTTTGGGATGCAGCCACCGCAGCTTCCCTCGATTGCCGCCAACAGTTCGCTCACTGCTGTCTTGTTCGCTTGGCGCTCACGAAATGTAGATCTTACACTGACGCATGACGAGCGGGAAGCTTTTTAAAGCGTAGGACATTGTGTTTGGCACTTAGGTATGTGTAGTCGCATTGACTTTCGAACGCGAGCGTAGTTTCAAAGTGGCCGTGATCTAGCAAAAGACACGACCAAGCCCGCGCGCGCGCGCTTCCGAGTTCTATGGGAGATGCACGACGGCGCATGCGTGGTGAACCGTGCCGTGCCCGTATAGCCTTCCCTCCAAGAGCGAGGGAAACAGAACGAGCGAACGAATGCAGATAAAGAGCAAGGCGGGAACCGCGCCGCGGTCTAACGAAACTCGTCCTGTCCAGTCCAAAGCACGACCATATAAACGAAAGACGGCTGTATATGCACCGGCCAATACATGCTCGCGCATCTAGGACACTCCAAGGTAAGTTTGTCAGTCGTGCGGTGTCAACTCTCGAATTAAATGTACACGATGGCTACAGTCACAGCCTCCTCTATACTAACAAAGTCTGGCAGATCGCCACGAGGAGAGGCCGCCGAAAGTGAAAAGGTAGAGCGGCAGACAACGGAGGAGAGGAGAGCCACGTGACGGGCGCCCCGCTGCGGCGAGACGCCGAAACACACTTCTCCCGAGCGATAAAATGTCCGCTCGTGTTCCTCACGTTCTTCGCGCTACCGCTTCTTTTCTCGCCGAGTTTGAAAGCCATGTTACAGGTCCTCGCCACTGCAGAAGCTGTGCGCTGAATACCAAAAATTCTTAAAGCCCCTTCATGTTGTAAAAGTAGCGCAAGGTGCGTCGATGTACGAGGCATGTGCAACATACAGCCCTTGCGAAGATCCTGGCGGCACAGCGCAGCACTGAGCTAGATTTCAGACGCCATGTTCTTCCCAGAAGTGGCGCACGACACGTGTTTCTCGAGAATTTCCACAGCAATGAATGGCGCCACTTTTCCCAAGATGGAGGGGCTTTAGAAATGCTCTCTGCTACCAGATCCTCGCGCTCCAAATCTGCGGCCGGGCATTCGATGGCTCCGTTGAAGTGCCAGGCTTTGTGAGTATACAGGAAGCTATGCTACAGTGCATCTTAGACCGTAGAATGAGCCGAAAAAAGTTGGTGCTTGGACTTGGAAAGCTTGAACTTTCGCCGAATATGCATTGAGGGAGTGCACTTTAGCTGGTAAAATATTAAGCCATATAGCTTCCCTTCTGTTAAAAATGAGCCCAACAAACTTGCTAGGATCATCGGTAGACGGGTTCGCAGACGAACGAGCGGGAGCTGCTGGGGTCACCAGATGAGCGTTCATGCAATTCAAAACATAAAGCAGTCGGTCACTCAAGAAAAAAAAAAAAAAGAAAAAAAAGAAAAGAAAGGTTTATTTATGGAGCGTCGGCGCCTGCGGAATAGACCCATTGCTAAATTACTAAAGCATCAAGAAGCATGCAGGGAACGTAGTTACACGCGCTCCGTTCGTTCGCCTTATATGCATTAAAAATTTTAAAGAAATCATAACAAAAATGGGTTGTAAACAAAAGTGCGAACTGCCCCTTGTTTTCGATTTTTGATTTACAAAATGCTACTGCCAACGCCAGCAAGCGCAGAGCGTGTAACTTTGTTCCCTGCATGCTCCTCGATGCTTGGGCAACTTAGCAATATGTGTATTCCAACCTGGCCAACGCTAACCAATATATTGCACGCCAGTAAAAACAAAACAAAAGAACTGTTGTTGTTGTTGAACTTGTTGAAGTGTGGAAGTCGACGATCTAAGTCTGAGTGTGAGTTGAGAGGATAAGGGCGGTGCTAAAATAATTTAGCAAGCAACCATTGAGTTGTTTTTTTAGAGCGCAGCTCTTAGGCGGCCGTTTCCGCGTTGAGCGGCGTCGGCGTAACCCACGCTTTGCATTATAGGACGTCACACTTTCCCAGATAAATTTAGCGGGGAAACTGAATTGGTGTTCAAGTCATGTGACTTTAATTTCCCCGCTAAATTTAGCAGGAAAACTTAACCCGCTAAATTTACTGGGGAAATTGACGTCACGTGACGTCAACACCAGTTCAGTGGCCCGGCTAAAGTTAGCGGGGTAAATTTTCGCTAAATCTCCCGATAAATTTAGCGGGAAATTTTCGCTAAATTTAGTTGAATATTTAGCGAAACTTTTCCCACTAAATGGGAGGGGAGCAGGAGAGGAGGAGGGGAGGGGGAGGAGGGACATACCCTTCCCTCCGTACCTTCCCCTCCTCCTTCTCAAGAGCTGCACTCTAATTCGGCCTAATAGAGAATTGTAAGCGTCTTTTATTTCTTTTTGTTTTCGTTGTCCACTTTGTCGGTAGCTTTTGATAGATTTACGCCGAATGAAGACTGCTATGCCACCGAAGAAACAATAACACCCATAACAGTACTGTAAACAAAAAGAGGAAAAAAAGTAAATCGGGCTTGTCCGGGACTTGATCCCGGGACCTCTCGCACCCTAAGCGAGAATC